TTACAATGTACCGAAGCGGATGCATGTGTATTCAATGCATATAATAGTAGAATTATTCTGGCAATATTTGTGGACGATGGTTTAATCGCTGCAGAAAATGAAGAAATAATAAATAAACTTTTAACAAACTTGGAGAAAGAATTTGAGGTTAAAAAAGGAAACTTAGATTATTTCCTAGGTATGCAGGTAAATATAATAAAAAATGGTTCATTATTTGTGCATCAGACAAATTATGCATGTAGCATAATTAATACATTTAATATGCTGGACGCCAAGGAACTTTCAATACCGATAGATAAATCACATACACTTGAACAAAAGGAAGATACGGAAATATTGAATGAAGATATTCCTTATAGGCAGGCAGTAGGTAGCTTAATGTTCTTATCACAGGTAACAAGACCAGATATAGCATATGCAGTAAACTTTGCTAGTCGTTACTTAGCAAAACCAACTAAAGCTCATTGGAACTTGGTAAAACGGATTATACGATATATCAAGCGAACATTTAATTATGGCTTGTACTTTAATAACAAAACAAAATTGTCATTAGAAATATTTAGCGATGCATATTACGCAGGTGACATTCAGACACGACGTTCGACGTCAGGATTTCTATTCAGGTACGGGTCAAGCATAATTTCATGGACATCGCAGAGACAACATTGTGTGTCATTGTCATCGACAGAGGCTGAATATATTTCGGCCAGTGAAGCTGTAAAAGGGATCATGTGGATTACGCGGTTGATAATAAGCTTATCAAAAACAGGTGACAAACAACCAGTATTATTTATAGATAATCAGAGTGCTATTCGTTTAGTGAAAAATCCGGAGTTTCACAAGCGGACTAAACACATAGACGTACTTACCACTTCATACGGGAGAAATACGAAGAGGGACAATTCCAACTACAGTACATTGGAACAGAGGACCAGATTGCGGACATTCTAACCAAGCCTTTGGTTAAGGAACGATTCGAGAAGTTGCGGTCAGCCATAGGAGTGACTACAATTAAAGAAATTATTAATTGAGGGAGGGTGTTGAAATATACAATTAATATTAGTATTCAAACCATGTAAACACACGTGCGTGTACAATGTCGTTTTCTAATAGATACTTATGCAGTTACGATATAGCTGTGTAACACCTTTACTATCGCTTTCTATATTATATACGAATACGGGATGGCCTTGATTATTCATATAAATAGGGCCTTTGATGTATGTAATATTCACTTGCACAGACGCTGTCATACCAAGTGTACGCGGTGTGTGTGTATAGTCACAGTTTAATTGTCCAGTTGTACGTTATTATATATTATACTTATACATAATCATATTGTCGTGTTATTACTTATTATATTAATTCTAACATCATTAGTCCGTCAAGCTTAACTTTCAACAGTTTAACTCTAAATAAAATGTTTTTGTTTGTCAACGATATTATATGATTTTTAAAATCACGTTTCAAATCTGATGTAGGAAACGTGAAATGCATAATACTTGTCAATAATATGAAGGAATTGAATAAATGTGTAATCTGAAAAAAAACGAAGCTTAGGTATATGTTTTCTTTATTTTGCATTTTTTTTTTTTAGGAGCCCTGATTACCGTTGAAAATCGTATATTTGGTGACGTGTGGTCATTTTGCATTTTCACCGTCGCAATAACAAACATATCAATTATATCATACTGTTTAATATCCCACTCATTGTTAATTATATATTTATACGTTTTATCATCATCAATTTGAATTTGTAGCAAATTTTTACTTTGAGTAAAACAAAATGAAAAAAAAAGACTAGAGCAATACTCACAAGTAAATGGCATGATTATGACATTGTTATCAAATAAAATGAAGTCCTTGATTAAAAAAAAATGTATTCTATAGACGTTTTCTGTATTAAAATATGATACAAAATAAAAATAATAATTATTTGAATAAACCTAATGCGTGTGCTGTAGTATGAATTATAGTCAAATCAATTTTCAAATGCCGAATATACCTCAAATAATAATACCCCAATTTTTGATGGTAGAAATAATCTTGGCCACATTTAAAATTGATGTCTTGGAAAAATTGAATAAATTAATAATATTTTATTATTTGTAAAATGAATAGTACCCACTATTAAACCTTATTTTTTGGTAATGACTGAACAACGCAACGAGTGATTTTAATGATTGGCCCCCATGCACCACACATAAATAGTATGCAAGTTGCTCACCTGAGCACTAGTTTCTAACGGTTTGTAATGCAAAAAATGCATGCTACTTGTTGTGTGAGTTTTAAACCGCTCGTGGCGCTAGTGTGGTCGACCGTCTTCTATGAAACTTTTGTTTGTCGGCACTTCCGCAGTTGGTTGCGGGCCGACTGGACGTCGACTTTTGTCTTTATTATTTTTACAATCGTGTCGTGCGATGCTCATTCTTGTAAACATTTTATTCCGTGTCCTAATTGTGTCTGGTCTTAACTGAGAAGACGAAATGTCAAAATGCTTCATCCTAGCGTCGTCCTGTTTTTAGGCTCAGCTGAAACAACTGACTGTCCGACAAAGGCACTGTAAATATTATTTCTACTAAATTTTAGTACCCGAAATTCAATAATTGTGTATTATGAGTATTAAATCATATATGTCATATTAAGTACCTATACATAGTATTAGCTTCTAATAATTGGAATTGTCATTAACGTAGACGTAGATCTGGTAAGATGATGCTGGGCTAGCGCAATGCCAACGATTTATGGCGTGTCCGTTGAAATTGTTGGCGACTTTTTCGCACTTATAAACGGATAAAGGATGAACATGTTAGCCCATGGCTTCAATATAGATACAAGGTTATTGCAATAATAACCCCTATATAACATTTTATCACGGTAAGGAATTAAAATGGCTACGATATATACCAACTATATATGAACTGTACCCTCACCCTGCCATTTTATTTTGCTTTGATAACAATATTAGCTAAGTACAATATCTTGTATATTTAAGTTATCTGTTAGCCCAAGTTTCGATGTCATTAAACAAATTAAGTAAATGAAAACTTGAGTGTAAACACTATAAAAAATTAAAATGAGACGGATAAATAAAATTTCATTAGGCACATCAAACGCTAATTGTGTACAAATAATAACTGAAGTATTTTTATCATCTTGATCCACAATAACGGACCACCACATCTTGGAACTTAATCAGTATTGTTTGATTGATTTTCAATTACTCGGGTTTTACGATTGATAGCTCGTTCATATTTTGTAATTTGCTGTAATGTGGGTCATTCAATTTATTTCTGTAAAATATACGTAATTATATTAGCACCGCCGTCCGGCGGGCGCTCGACTGCAAATCCAAATTTTTTTGCTTGACCCAGTCGTCGACTCCTAGTATATAGAAATAACAAATTAACAATGTATATTAAAAACCGTTAAAAATTATAAACTTACTCACGGGTTATATTATACTTACTACTTCAGGTTTATTATATTTTTATACTTAAATAGTATAATTATGACATTGTTATCAAATAAAATGAAGTCCTTGATTAAAAAAAATGTATTCTATAGACGTTTTTTGTATTAAAATATGATACAAAATAAAAATAATAATTATTATTGAAATATCTATAGGTACTTATTTGACCAACAATATATCGACAAAATAACCTTGTACAAGGTTAAATAATATATCAATCGAAGTGTAATTTTCAGCTCTAAGCCATGAAATAATTATAAAGATCATTACTATGTACACCGCCAAAAAGTGTATTCCTATACAAAAGAACATTAGAAATGCGGCAGCCGGCGGTCTTATAGGCCATAAGAATTCCTCACAGGTTACTATAGCTGGCGGCCAAAAATTCTTGATTCATAACCATGTTCTTGTGGTAGCTGGCGGTTGTATGGCGCTCAACGTGTTTTAAGTACTTAAGTCGCCTAGTAGGTTAATTCGGTGGAATTATTTTGAAAATTTGCATAAATCACAAACTAAGTTGGGTTTAAATTTTGCAAACAAATTAATAGGTGCACTCATAGGGTGGAAGAAAAATAAAATAAAAATTAAACTTGCTGCTCAATTATTAAGTACACCAACAGCCAGTGCACTGAAGTGTTTATCACATTAATAGCTTTCAACAATTTAAGAACAGCGAAGCTACAAATGATGCAGTAGACTAGCTAATATTGGATTTCTTAAATTCAAGGAGCCCTTTTGCCAAAGCTAACAAGTGCCCAATTTTAGAACTAATATCGATTCCAAGTTTCAACTTCAAATTTTATCCAAACTAAAAATTGAAACATAAAAGGTAATAAAGAAATTATAAATTTATAGTAAGTAACTATTCATATTTTTTTGTACTTTAATAGAAACCGGCGTATTTTGCAATGTAGCGTTACAATTTTCATTTGGCGTCTTCTGTAGAGAGTTCCGTGATTAATATGTTACTAGTTCGCTAATTTGTCCACGGTAGGATGCTAACTGTTGTTTAAAACTTTGAATGAATATTAATGGATCTGATATATGAAATTCTGTTTTTAATATGTTCTGTGTAATAATTATTGTCATTTCTGAAATTTGTTCTTTAATTTTTGTGGTGTTGATTGAAGACGGTGAGGATGATGTTAATTTTAGATGATTATTGAATAGGGTTGTTTGTAAATGGAGATGTTCTGTATAGAATAAAATGGTGTCCGGTGTCAATTTGAGAATATGATTTAAAATGTGTGAGTTTTTTATTGCATCATTTAATAAATTCATTGTCATAGTCGATGAAATATGAAAAGGCATGTTTTTTGTTTGGTTTAACTCTAAATAAAATGTTTTTGTTTGTCAACGATATTATATGATTTTTAAAATCACGGTTCAAATCTGATGTAGGAAACGTGAAATGCATAATACTTGTCAATAATATGAAGGAATTGAATAAATGTGTAATCTGAAAAAAAACGAAGCTTAAGTATATGTTTTCTTTATTTTGCAATTTTTTTTTTAGGAGCACTGATTACCGTTGAAAATCGTATATTTGGTGACGTTTCTGAGCGAATTCATTTAGCGCCCGGAACATGACCTCGGAACTCGTCATGAATTCCAACTCAAACGGCCAGTCCGCACCGGCCGCTCGCATGGCGAGTTTGAGTTTTTCCCTTTCCTGGTTTGCAAGCTGGCAATCCATTAGCAGATGCTCCGCATTTCCACTGGGGAAACCGCATGGGCAAGCTGAATCGCCTGCAAGGTTAAAGCCGTTTAGTTTTGCTTTGAAATCTCCGTGGCCGGTCAACAGCTGGGACGTAAAATGATCCATACGGCACCACCCACGACCCACCTGGCGTCCGACATCGGGAAACCATCGCGCGGTCCACCTACCCTTGCGACTCGCGACCCACTTGCTCTGCCAGAGGTTGAGGAGATTGTTACTGTGCCTCGTATTTCTAACCTCGGCTTCCTGCACCGTCATAGCACCTCTCCTGACCGCGATCCTGTCCCCCTCGACTCTGGCTATTCGTAATAGTTCCAGTTCGAGAGTGGGTACTCCGGCAAGGACCTGCAGTGCCATCGTCGACGTGGTGTTATACTCGCATGTAATGGCTTTAAGCGGGGTTCTTTGAGCCCTGTTTGCTCTCCCTCGGTGATGCCCGTCAGCCATGCACTTCTGAGCCCACACCGAGGCCGCATAACTTATCTGCGAGAGGAATACGGTCTTATACAGGTTTGCCGCTAAACCCCTCTTAAGACCCCACTTCGTTTTTGCGACTCCACACAGTCGACTAAATAGCGCCACGGAGGCCTTCACTTTTTCCGTCAGATGGCCACTGAAGTTTTTACCGCCGAACGTGACGCCGAGGTATTTAGCCCCGACCGTCGGTTTGATTTTTACAGTGCCGAGTCGGAGATCCAAGGCCGGCCGGGATAGATTTCCCTTAAGTCATAGGGTCTGCGACTTGGTCGCGGAGAAGGAGAGTTAACGCTTATCCGCCCATAGCGACGCTCTGCTGAGTAATTCGTTTCCACGACTTACCAGCTCTACCCGATTTTCGCCAGAGATAAGTATCGCAAGATCGTCCGCAAACGCGATTTACTCAGTACCTGCAGGCGGGTCAGCTGACAGGAGTGGATTAACAGCTAATTGCCAGAGGTCTGGACCATACTCCGACCCCTGAGGGCACCCTTTAGTAATGGTTTTGGCCACTGTCTGGTCGCCCGTTCAAATCAGTTCGGCGGCCGTCCAGATAGCTTTTCGTCAGCTCAACCAGCCCGCTGCGACAGCCAGCACTACGCATGTCCGCAACTAGCTGGGCCCACCATAGACAGTCAAAGGCGCCCGAAATGTCCAAGAAGACTGCAAATACGTATTTTTCTTGCCTGCTTTTTGTCCAGTTCAGCGCGTGGTGCATCACGTCGACTGTCGAGAGGTTTTTCGTGAATCCGAACTGTCTTTGAGACATGTACGGATCCGTGTCCGCTCGAATCCTGTCTATTATTATGTGTTCGAGCGCTTTCGACACCATCGGGAGTAGGCTTATCGGCCGGTAGGACTTGGCCTCCGCCCGGTCTTTGCCAGGAGATTTCAGAATCACAACCAGCCGGGCCAGTTTCCAGGCGCTTGGAAACTTTTTGGATTTAAGACAAATATTGAACAAATTCGTGATGTGTTCGGCCAGGACTGGCCATGCCTGGCAGAGAATCCTTGTCGTAATGCCGTCGGCTCCCGGCGACTTCTTCGGATCCATTCGCCAAATGGCTCTTTTTACCTCCTCGACATCGCACAGATTAGCTGGTTCGTCCTCGCCCGTCTCCGGGCCGAAGTGCCCGACTTTCACGCCCGTTTCCGCTCTGGTGGCTGTCTGTTCGGGACTCTCACCGTCGGACGTATCTCCCGGGACCAGGGTTTCAATGAGTCTTATCCCGGTCTCTTCTAGAGAGTCGGTGAAAGTGCCGTTCGCCCGGCTGATTGGCACTGGAAGATTCTGAGAAGGTCTTAAGCCTCCGGTTTTGAGCCAGGTGTAAACGGGTCCCCACGGTTCCCTGTTTCCGATATCGGTCACAAAGGAGCGCCAGGAATCCCGCCTGGCTTTGAAGCAATTCATATTGAACCTTTGCTTCAATTTCTCGTAAGAGTTCCGGATTACACGCTTGCCGAACGCGTTCCGTGCGTTTCTCAAGCGAATCCTCCAGCGTCTGAGATTGCTTAATTCTCTGTTCAGACTCTGGTTCCATCAGGGGGGTGGTTTACGCTTCTTTATCTTTACTATTCCCATGCGTCCAGTGCAGGTCTCAGTCAGCACTCTTATGAGTGCTGCAGTGCTAGTATCAAGATCCGGACTTTCCAAATCAGTCATCCACGCGCTTACTCTGAGTTTTAAGGACTTACGGAATTCATTCCAATTCGTTTTACTCCAGTCGTATTTTACGAAAGGATCTGTCCTGTCATTCAGGCGCGCACAGTTCTGTGTGACGTCGAAGCTTATGATCGCATGATCGCTCGACGTCAAATTGTGGACTGCGGTCCAGTCCGCCACATTCACGCCGTAAGACGTAAGGGTCACGTCCAAGCACGCAGACCCACGATTTATAAATGTATTCACACTGCCCGCTAGGTTATTTACGGTAAGGTTTTTCCGACCTATGAGGTCCACGACCATCTCTCCGCGGTCGTCCGAGAGACGGTCGTGCCAAAGCGTAGACCGTGCGTTCACGTCCGCGCAGACTAACACGTTGCCGCTTACCGAGTCCAGTACGGATTCGAGCGCGTCAACATGTGTCTGTGTTGGTTCCGAAAATTGAAAGTATGCTGATATCAGCACTAAGCGGAGATTTCCAACAGTGAACACGGCTACGGAAATATGGGGGGTACTGAGATGCTGCAAACTCAGGATGCCGACTGCGGGGTTCGCGACGACGATGGCGGCTTTAGGCCCGACCCCGCTCACTACTACCCTGTACGGTCGTCTGTCGAACAGATAGATCCCTTTACAGTCGGTGGCTGGCTCTTGTATTAAGCAGACGTCAAAACTTCTACTCGACAATAGCCCTTCAATCTCATGCATCACCCTCTGTGATCTCCTCGCATTGATTTGTATGACTTTAATTGTCGTCTGTCGTCACCAGTTATTTCAAGTCTACAGGAGTCGGTATCGGTTGTGCTACTATCCGACCCGCCCGTTCCTTGGCGAGAGCCTGTCTCATTTTGAACTTGTGCGCCATCTGAAAAGGAACAAATTGATTCACGCTGGTGAAAAACCTTTCCAGTGTGATATTTGCTAGACAAGACACATGGATTTATCAAATCTCAAGTGTCACAACATGTGTTGGCACTTGGCATTCAAACATAAGGCCTTACATTTGCGTCATTGATGAATGTAAGGAAAGACCAAAAGCTTTTAAACAAAAAATCATATTTTAAAATTCATTGGTGGTGTTATTAACCCCTTGTTCTTATAGTAATATAATATAGGTAACGTAGAATTTAGATGGGTAACCACTTTTGTAAGACGACGTCCATCACCATCGAATAATGCATAGTACATAAGTCAATCGTGAAATAGTCTTATACTCGATTACTGTGTGTACCTACGTTATATCTAAAAAATAAAAGTATTAATATAATTTTAATTAATTGCGTTAAAATTCAATTCCTGTAATAATAAGTTTCAATAGCGCACTGTAGTATTTTCGAGAGAGCGAACTAATTCTTTAACAGAGGATAACAACTCAAAATTGACTACGAAGGAACAAACCCAATTAAGACATAACAGTGGGCACACTGTGAAATCAGATACATATGTGACATGTGTCCCAAAACTTATTCCACAAATGGCAATGTGAATAGGCACAAGAAACAAATATATAATGTTTTGCCCAAATATAATAAATAAAAATGTGTTTAATTTTATTGAATTATTTTATCTTTGCAATTCATCTAATGTAGTTATACATTTACTTTTATTTTGAGCAGACCATGAGTCAGGATAAAGGTTGAGTATCGTGGGATGACTCTGTTTTATACTGTTCTTCAAGAATATGAAAATAGTTTAGACCATTGCACCATCTGAAAAGGAACAAATTAATTCACGCTGGTGAAAAACCTTTCCAGTGTAATATTTGCAAGACAAGACACAGGGATTAATCAAATCTCAAGTGTCACAACATGTGTTGGCACTTGGCATTCAAACATAAGGCCTTACATTTGCGTCATTGATAAATGTAAGGAAAGACCAAAAGCTTTTAACCCTAAAATCATATATTAAAATTCATTGGTGGTGTTAGGAACCCCTTGTTCTTATAGTAATATAATATAGGTAACGTAGAATTTAGATGGGTAAGCACTTTTGTAAGACGACGTCCGTCACCATCGAATAATGCATAGTACATAAGTCAATCGTGAAATAGTCTTATACTCGATTACTGTGTGAACCTACGTTTTATCTAAAAAATCACAGTGGGCACACTGTGAAATCAGATACATATGTGACATGTGTCACAAAACTTATTCCACAAATGGCAATGTGAATAAAATTTGCATAAATTACAAACTAAGTTGGGTTTAAAATTTTCAAACAAATTAATAGGTGCACTCATAGGGTGGAAGAAAAATAAAATTAAAATTAAACTTGCTGCTCAATTATTAAGTACACCAACAGCCAGTGCACTGAAGTGTTTATCACATTAATAGCTTTCAACAATTTAAGAACAGCGAAGCTACAAATGATGCAGTAGACTAGTTAATATTGGATTTCTTAAATTCAAGGAGCCCTTTTGCCAAAGCTATCAAGTGCCCAATTTTAGAACTAATATCGATTCCAAGTTTCAACTTCAAATTTAATCCAAACTAAAAATTGAAACATAAAAGGTAATAAAGAAATTATAAATTTATAGTAAGTAACTAAAAATAACGTTATAGTTAACAAAAATGTTGAATTTTAAATTCTAGTCGGTAATTTCGAAGATTACAAATCCCACCAACCACCCATGTTTTTTTTTTTTTTGATCATCCTTGAACACTACACCTACGACAATAAATTTATTTGGACCTAGCTAATTTTAGAAACATTTTTACAACCAGAAATTGTTGCCATATTAATCTAAGTTACCATAATATTCCATTCATAGATACACAATACTGTGGAAGTTTGGGTTGCATTATAGGTGTTTGAATAGGTATCTACTATTAAACCTTATTTTTTGGTAATGACTGAACAACGCAACGAGTGATTTTAATGATTGGTCCCCATGCACCACACATAAATAGTATGCAAGTTGCTCACTTGAGCACTAGTTTCTAACGGTTTGTAATGCCAAAAATGCATGCTACTTGTTGTGTGAGTTTTAAACCGCTCGTGGCGCTAGTGTGGTCGACCGTCTTCTATGAAACTTTTGTTTGTCGGCACTTCCGCAGTTGGTTGCGGGCCGACTGGACGTCGACTTTTGTCTTTATTATTTTTACAATCGTGTCGTGCGATGCTCATTCTTGTAAATATATTGTTCCGTGTCCTAATTGTGTCTGGTCTTAACTGAGAAGACGAAATGTCAAAATGCTTTGATGAAAAAGAAAATTTTTTTAATAGATTTTAAATGCAAATTATCAAACCAACTAGTCATAATTTGTTCATGCCTACACAGACTTGTGTATTATAATATTATAAATATCAAATATGGCAGGGCAATTAACTGTAAATATGTTAATATAATATAATATACATTTTAAATAACATAAAAAAAAAAAAACATTTTATTCAAAATTTTATTTTCCGCTGAAATGGACTGTTCGTCGTGGCCCTCCCGGAATGCCTCTGTCGCCAATTCGAGCGCTCTTGATTTTGAAATCAAATTCTCCGCTCTCTCCACGATTTGCTTATAATCCCCAATGGTGAGCTCCGCCATTGGGAATTGCAGCTGTACCGTGTCGAGACTTTGAATCTGCTTCCAAAACTCCTCGAACGATGGCAACTCTGAATACGGATCAGTGACGTCCATGTAATGTTCGATGCTAAGAAAAAAACGATTTACAAATATCATAATATATTGTTAATGTTTGTAAATACTTACTTGGATATTATAAACTCTCTCAACTTGGACGATTGTTCGATCGTTGTCATCGCACGGTGTTTTGCTCGATTGCAGCGTGTGCCGACGGGACGTGGTAGCACCGTTCAACCGTGGCCTCGCTGTGCTGCAAGCAGCTGGCCAGAAGTTTTTTGGTGGCAGGAGAGTGCGTGATGCCGGCCGTTTCGATTTGTTTTCTAATAAGGGTGCCGGATACCTTAAGGATATCACCCATACCGCCATCCTTACCGGGTACCATTATGTTACGTTGTTTGCATTCTTGGTTGAGCAGGTCAAAAAACTTCGTTAGCGCCTGCCTAGTGTTCGTGACGAAAGAGTTGTCGACCTTGACGTCGTCCAACTTGCACCGCAATAAATAATAACTTAAGAGTATGGGAATGTTCATATTCTTTGATCAAATAATTCTATTCGTCTGTTTTCACTCACCGGTCCATATAGGCCATCAACTCGTCGTTTAACACAATGGTGGCCGGCGTCTTGTCGCCTAATTTGTGTTTTGCGACCCATATAACAGTATCCTCTACACGAGTGGCCGCCTCAAACTCAAAAATGGTGAGGTGCCTCACCACACCCACCCGGATCTTATTGAGTATAACCAATGTGCCTGCGAGCGCTATCGTCACCTGCCGCCAAAGTTTTGCGACCTGAAAACAAATAGATTAATTTACAAATTAATTCATCGGTTATATTTAGTATTTTTTTTATAATATCATTCAACGACTAACTTCCAAATTGGTTTTCCGCCGATTTATAACTCTCGGCACGACGTCAATTTTGGCCGTCGTAGTGTTACACAGTATTTCGAGTTCCACAAAATGATCATCCATTTCCAACTTCATTTTTGTCACCAGATCCTCAATTAGGCTAAACGAGGGTAAGGTGTCGGCCGCCAGTACTTTGTTCGAAAACGTTTCCTTCGTCGACAACTTACCCCGTCCTTTAAATGTGTCCTTAAACGCGTTTAGTGTATACAGTACTCTGTCACATTCCCTACGGTCGGGCACCCCGTCGACCATAGGGAATG